TCTCTCTACGTCAATCCGAATGCGGGTTCAGCGATCCGGCGTCGTGACCGCCATTAGTTACCAGGACAAAGGTGACCTCGATCGAGTCGTGGAGATATCAGCCGCGCCGCGGAGACGTGGGCGACTAATCTCCTGAATGTTGAGTCTGAGTCGAGGAGGGGGGGGGGGGCGACACCAGCCCAATTGGCTCGGATCCTCTGCGTGTACGAGGAGAGAGGAGGGAAAGAGTATAGCGTCGATCCCCGCTCATACACGCGGCGCTAGGATAAAAAAGGGGTACAAGGAAGGGAGGGAAATCCAACACACTCATGCATCCATGCAAACGGTCGACACCCAGCGTTCCCCAGAATTGCGCCTGTAAGCGCCCACACATCTGTTCATTCATCTATCTTGGACAATGAGACATTCAACATCCATAGGCTCTCACACCACAACATGCATACAACAGAATACCCATACTTCGGGACCTTGCACAAATCACACTTGGACAAAGCAGCAATGGAGATAAAAGCGAGCTCCTCACTATTCAAAATCTCTCACACGACTGGCCTCCCTGGGCACCACCCCCAATTCGTCCGAACCACCAACAACCATAGCCACAAGGCCCTGCCGTTGACGGCGTCCGATCTCCACCACTGCCCCGTCACTCCGACTGCCTTACCCCCAAGTCTATCGTTAAGCCCGTCCCACGTCGTCACTCCGACTGCCTTACCCCCAAGCCTATCGTTAAGCTCGTCCCACGTCGTCACTCCGCCCGTCACTTGGGCACGTCAAGCCTGTTCGACGCTGCGGGCATAGCTCGCACAACATTGCAGCCAAGATCAAAAAGAGGAGGAGAGGAAGGGACTGCGAGAATTTATAGCGTGGAAGGCGGCGGGATGCCAGCGCGAGGTGCGGATAGCAAGGGGTGTCAATGAGCAGGACAAAAGAAGGGGCGAGGTTCCAGAGGATCGAAAGAGGCGGGTCGAAAGTTCCGTGTAATTGGGGTGGTCGTTCAAGTGGTGCATGCTCTCCGCTTTCACCATATTGATCCGACCATCCCAACTACACAGCCAGTCGCTCACGATAATGGGTAAGGAGAGGATCGGACTTCGCTCGTGGGAAGACGAAGAGGCATGCAAGAAGGGAACACGCAGCAAGAAGGGAAGGTGGCGTGGAGATGCAAAGCAGGGGAACGGATTTACGTGGCGTGCAAAAATTGAAAAACAGCCGCGCGCGCGTTATTGCACAAGAAATCAAAAAATTCGCCCACACTAATTCCTAACCGTTTCTTGGATTTCTCGGCGCAGTTGGTAACCGTCCGTGCGAAAAAGTCATCAGGGGCAGTTCTAAAAAATATAAGTTTCTGTTATGTCGCCCCCCCCTTTCCAACAAGAAGAAAAAAAAAAAAAAAAAAAGGGAAAAGGACCCCGCTTTTCTCGATCAGCCAGAATCTGTGCTTAGAGCATAGCTACGCCGGACCGGACCCCGGAACGATTCCGGGCCCCGGATCCCGGACCAACGTCGCGGATGTGTGTGTGCGTGTGTGTGTGTGTGTGTGTGTGTGTGTGTGTGTGTGAGAGAGAGAGAGAGAGAGAGAGAGAGAGAGAGAGAGAGAGAGAGAGAGAG